CCTGACATTTAAAGTCAACTGAAATAGAAATAAAATCGGCCAAATACAGTAAACCGATTTGATACAAAGTTTTGACACAAGACTGGTAATAGCTTGCTATTTAAAGATTTAATGGTGGCGCCAAATCGAATTTCGTCTATCGCAGACGATTTTTTGGCCCTTCTGCTTTTTTCTTCCTTCCTGGATACTCCTCTCTTGTCGTACGTGACATAATGAAAGTCTGAGTGCGCGCCATTTACAACACTCAAATTTGATTCTGTTTCCCGCCTTTTCCTGCCTTATACGTGACAACACGAAGTACAATTTCTTTGTTAAGAAAAGATATAGCTTCATCTATTTCATGCGAATGAATCCCAAAGATCCGCTTTGAAGCGCAAAATATCCTCACAGTTCGATTGCACGTATCAATCGGGATTGCAATCCCTCTTAGAGAAGAAATGAGTCATTCGACAATCATGTACTACGAGTTTAGTCTGGGAAATCTCACAGCTGGAATTCGGAAGTAAAAAAAAAAGATCTTATAAAATTTACTTCAGTTTTATTCTAAATCCAAGACTATAGTCGAGAGAGTCAGTTGTAACTTTAGACTTCGATTTTGATATCGAAAAGTTCAAGTTTATTTGTAAACTACCAGTAAATTACCAGTAAATTTGCCGATATCACATTTCAGGCATTATACCATTTACACTATTGCAAAGACAATAAACCTTTTATTTCACTTCACATAAAACATAAGGATCAAATCAGATCATCAATGGTCCAAGCACAATTCATAGATTTGTGGCCCTAAAGAGGGCCGTTGGGTTGGTTTTGAGGAATGGAGCGGAAAGCGTGAGACCGCTCTACGACGAACTCATGTACTTGGTGACAGCTTTCGTGCCCTCGGACACAGCATGCTTCGCCAACTCTCCTGGAAGAATCAAACGAACAGCTGTCTGGATCTCTCGCGCTGATATCGTTGATCGTTTGCTGTAATGTGCCAGACGACTTGCTTCAGTTGCAACTCGCTCGAAGACATCGTTAACGAAAGAATTCATAATCGACATGGATTTCGAAGAAATTCCGGTGTCGGGATGAACTTGCTTGAGGACACGATAGATGTATACCGAGTAAGACTCCTTCCGATGACTTCGCCGATGCTTTTTTTCCTTCTTTTCTTCCGCCCGCGGTTTCTTCTCAACTACTTGCTCTTTCTTCCCCTGCTTCTTCGATGAAGTCTTTGCCATCGTCGAATAATTGCGTCACAACTACCGCTTCCAGTAAAGACAGACAACTGCAATGATGCCACAACGTCTCGGCCAGCCTATTTATTCATTCTTGGAAGCATAAGCCACTCCCCCCATTTCCCGCCACAATTTGAAGAAAGCCGAAAATGGCCTGCCAGACTGGGAGGAGCCTACAGTATCTGTATTGAATGCCCTCACCCCAAAGACAAAGGATGTATGACGTCATGACGTCATGGCTAAATCTGCACGTTGCTATATTCTTCAGATCACAATCGGACGATTTACTCCTAACTATCCACAAGGACTGTCTACCTCAAATGATCTGAACCTATTCACCTCATCTCTCCGATATCTTCCGCTATATTTGAAGTATGTGACATACAGTATGTGACATATATGTAGCTATCACATACTTCAAATACAAAGCGAGACATCATTACCATGACACCAGCATACCACAGCACTACAAAGAAATAATTGTTATCACTTGCATTACCATTTTTGGATAGCAATAGAAAATATAAGCCTATCATTCATCTGATCATTCAGGGGAAATACTAAAGAACAAAACCTGATATCAGATGATGGGAAGGGTTATCCCGTGACATAGCCGAATATACTTCTAAATCTTTGAGTGCAGAAAGATGTCGCATTTCAATCCATTAAATTAAGAACGGAAATGAAAAGACAGCAGTTTCTCAACGAAATCCGCCAATGGCGTGTGATTAACATGGTGGAATTTTATGGATCTCGAGAATTCGAAAATCCTAGATGGAGTTAAAAAATTTTTGAAAGTGCGGTAGAAATACATTGCAGTGTGTTTTGAACGGTTATTTTTCCCGTATCTTAGAGAAATTTTTTCTTTTATCCTCAGATTCTGAATTCCTAAACAGCGATTCGTTTGACTCTTCCAGGAGATTTGGCGAAATATCCGGTATCTGTGAATATCAAAGCTGTCAACAAACGCAACAGTTCGGGCTTACGCTTTTCGTTTCATCTTTGTAAACAATGATCCCCTTTAGGGCTACAAATTTATGAGTTATGCTTGCATCCTTGATGACTTGATCTGATCTTCATGTTTTATGTGAAGTGAAAGAAAGATTTATTATCTTTGCAACAGTGTAAAATGTTATACCTGAAATGGGATGTTAGCAAATTTACTGATACATCCGTCCGAGTTTGCAATTTGCTGATGAATTCCGTTTATAAGTTTAGGGTTAAAGTTTCAGGTGTCAAAATATAGCCTACGCTTTAACCTCAGATTTGGGGTAAGCTTTAAACGGTAACAGACTAACATCGATGCTTTGAGGCAGTGAGATTTATACGAGAGATTTAGATTAGTTTTGAAATTTTTTGAACATAAGGTGAGAATGCTGCATTGCAGTGCGTTTTGGAATTTTATAAAATCTTTTTTCTTTACTTCCGAATTCCAGCTGTGAGATTTCCCAGACTAAACTCGTAGTACATGATTGTCGAATGATTCATTTCTTCTCTAAGAGGGATTGCAATCCCGATTGATATGTGCAATCGAACTGTGAGGATATTTTGCGCTTCAAAGCGGATCTTTGGGATTCATTCGCATGAAATAGATGAAGCTATATCTTTTCTTAACAAAGAAATTGTACTTCGTGTTGTCACGTATAAGGCAGGAAAAGGCGGGAAACAGAATCAAATTTGAGTGTTGTAAATGGCGCGCACTCAGACTTTCATTATGTCACGTACGACAAGAGAGGAGTATCCAGGAAGGAAGAAAAAAGCAGAAGGGCCAAAAAATCGTCTGCGATAGACGAAATTCGATTT